CACAAACACATAAGTGGGGGGAGCTAACAACACCCAGACGCCCCCAGCCGCGTGGGCGGGCGGGGGAATTTGTGGATTTAGAAGCCCCCCCTTCTGGAAGTTGCTGAGGTTGAGGAACCCTGATCTAGAGCAGGGCTTCTTAAACTTTTTTTTCTCAGGACCCCTTCCTACTTTTAAAAATTATAAGGGGCCCCAAAAGAGCTTTTGTTTGTATGGATTACATTTATCGATATTTACCGTATTAAAAATTAAAACTGACAAACCCACTGCCGCTCTCACAATTGTTTGATGGGATTTTAATATTGTGTTATTTTTTAACATAGGCTAGCAAATAATTTTGATTTTGCAGACCCCTGAGAGGGTCTTGGAAGACTCCCAGGGATCTTTGGACCACACTTTGAGAAACACTGGTCTAGAGGAATGCATATACACTTATCCAGTATAGAACACAACATTTCAGACTGAGATCACAAACTGATGCTTAACCATGGTCTACTGAATCACATACAATTTGCTGAATTTACACAAAATGCTAAATCAAACCATGGTTTATAAACAGCAATGGCTGAGTTCATATGATACCAAATCAAGACCAAGAAATCTGAATGAATGTGTTGTGGGTGAATCACACCTCAGTGTACATATCTGTTAGCTGAAATGTGTGACACATCCGCCCTGGCTGAGAACTGTGAAGAATACTGCTTATTATAAAAACAGGGGTCAGAAACTAAGGCTCAAATCTTGCTAAATTAGACTCCAACTCCTATAACCCCCAACCAAAATAGCCAGCCACTGAGTTGATGGGAAATACAATCCAATGTCCTCTGGAAGTCACATTTCCAATTCTATTATAAAACACAACACACAATTGTATACATATTATTCCAAAACAAAACCCACTGGGCAAATGCCAGGATTGCAGTCTTCCTTAAATAAACTCCTCTGAAACCCTGAATAAGATGAAACAGAATTCCTGTTATCTCAAATGCCTTCTCTCTTATGATTTCCTGTACTGTATTATCTGTCCTGGCCTGTTAGCAAAGAAAAATCTGTTGGAAAGTTCCCCATATATTGTGCCTAAGCATGATTTGCGGTGACACCTCAGCGTTTGCAAATGCCTGTGGGTATTTGACTTAAGTTCCGCTAAATCTATTCCTAAAATACAGCAGCTTCTAGGTGGGAAAAGGCAGCCAAGGAACGATTGTGATACTCTTAATGACCTTCCCCATATTTATTCCTAAGCATTAATAAGAAAGTTGGTGTTGAGGGGGAGGTCATTAAGAAGAAAATGTTTTCTCTGAAAAAAGGAATGAGTCAGTTGGAAGAAGCAGATAACTGGCTTGTGGCAGTCCAGTGTGTTAATCTCAGTCACCTCAACTGGATGCCATCTGTGAGCAGGAAAGAGGCTGGAAGAAATGTGGCTGTGCTCACTTTCACGCACACTTGTGGGCGTTCAGAAGTGTTGGGATACAAGGGGCACGCTGGCTGGGAATATGGAAGTGGTAATCCAACACCCTCGTTAAGGTTGTTTAGAAAACAGGAAAAAGTGACTACCTTGACTTAAAGTAGCCAAAGGACCCACTGCATCCGAACGCCAGATCTAAACTACGGTTGCTGACATTTTCACAGCACCCAAGATACTATATAAAATAGTTGTGTACTATATAACTGTTAGGCGCTATACAAAATAGCCAAATGAAAAGGGGGGGAGGGGGTAATTATATATAGCGGGTCCTGTATCTCTCTATTACCTACAGCCTTTCTATAAGAGCCCCTCCCACCTTCCCATTAACTCTTCCCCCCCCGTGCACCTCTCTCCCATCCCTGCCCCTCCAGTACTTACAACTCTTTAATGAGCACCATCCCTCACACCTTTCCAGCGCCTCGCACGCCCAAAGCACCGAGCCGTCTCTTCCTGGTCCCCCCTCCCCGGCCATTGACGCCACTTCCGCCCTCACTCCAGCGGCCACTTGCCCAGACCAGCCCCTTACGACGCCACTTCCGCCCTCAATCAGGCTTCTCTTTCCGGCAGAAGCCGCCGAAGCAATGAATGGGTTGCCGCTTTGGGGAGGTGCGGAGCGGGGGTGGGCCTTCCTCTCGGACAGGTAATTGCCGCTTGATTGACAAGGCGGCGAATTCCGGAATCGAGCACAATAGATTGCGGTGCGAGGTGATCTGCGCGGAAGAGTGTTTCCGAGGCATGTGAAGATTTCAGCAAGCTCCGGCGCCTTTATGTCTAGGAAGATGTCGCTTTTAGGAAGCACTGAACCCCGTAATCTTTGTTTTGAAACTGGATTGTGGTGGTCGCAGGATGTGTTGTACCGTACGACCATGTTCGTTATCTCCCGATGGCTTGGTCCTCCCCTTTGAGCCCCATAACAAGGCAGGGGGTGACGCAAGAAATACTGGCTGTGCTCACGAATACTTAATGCTTCACTGAAGACCTGGCAGCGGTCTCTCCATCGCGTGCCAAGCTGTCAGATGAATTTATAATTCAGTGTATTATATAAACACGAAAAATGGGTTGATTTATTAATCAGATTAAGAGTGCCGAGTGAGCACAACCGATAGCTGTTGATATTTGAACCTCGTTCTGGTTGTAATCTGACCGTTCTGGAACTGTACATAACTCTGGCTCTCCTCCAAGGCAGTCAGTGCTGGGAGTGACGCCACGGCTGCAAATGGCTCGCCTCCCTCTGCTCTAAGAAGCACTTGGTGCTCTTCGTGACATCCACAAGGATGCAAGATGTCTCAGCCAGGGAAGCTTTGGGTGCCATATTTAAGCCTGGGGGAGCCTGTAGCTCTCCAGGTGCCGGACCACATTTCCTAACATCCTTGTCCATCAGCCATGGGAATTGGAATGCAATATTGTGTTTGTTCCCTCTTTATTTTTTAGATCAGGCATTTTCCACGATTTTTCCAGGCTGTGGAACCTGTTTGAAAAAAAATCCAAGAACCCCTGTTTCAGGAGTGAGGCTTCTGAGTGTCAGCTGACAAGCCACACACTTTCCGCTGTACATCAGTGACCATAGGGGAAAAAACACAGTTTTTTTTCCTTTTAGTCCCACAGAATCTGATGTCAGCCCTTCAAAATAGACCAGATTAGGAAACCAAAGTTATGAATGCTAATACTACTTTTATTATATGGTTACCGTAACGGAATCTTGAAAGTCTGAATGCGCTTCCCCTCTTCCTCTCTTCATGAGAACTAGGGAGGGTCTTGTCTGAAAAGCTTTCTTAAAGTACATTTCTGCCTCAGCTCAAATTTCTTCTGTCTGACTGTTGTCTTGGTTGCAGCTCTTCCTCCTGTTCCTCAAGGTTACTCTTACAGCCCATTACATCTCTTCAAGTCTTTGCAGAACCCTAAACTTCCGCGGAACCCAGTTTGACAAAAAAATTGTAGATGACAGACCCCCTTGAGGTGTTCTGCCCCAAAACCCTCTTATTTGTTGTATTTTCATCCGATGCCTGGCCTGCATATTCTGCCTCTCTATTGTAGCTCTGTACTTTACTGATAAGAAGCTGGGAATAGAATATAGAATAGTTTGGCTTCTTGTGGGACATAATGCTCATAGGAGAAGGAGAGGCGGATGCAGAGTTGGCAAAAGGGGTGGGAAATCCTTTTTTAAAAAAACTTCCAGAAGAACACATTAAGATCAGAGACAGTTGGGGGAGCGGGGGCGGGGGGGAGAAATGGAGTAATGGAGGCACTAGCTGGTAGTAAAGATGCTACAAGAGCTAAAATAGCTAGTCGCTATTGAAAATAAGTCATAGTCTGTTGAATAAGATTGGCTGGTAAACCTTAGATGGCCTCAGCAGTTTCGACTATCAGAATTTATGGGGTGCTGGGTGAGATCAGGACAATCATGACCTGGGGGAAGAAGAATGCTGAAAGGTAACAACGTCATGGGAACCCTACTAGATTGCTCCAGGGCTTGGCTGGGATGGCAGAACAACAGAAGAAGCATGATCAAAGGTTTCTCTGCCCACCAATCACCTATCATCTCTTCAGCCTAGGAATGGATAATAAAATGCTAACTAATTTCATAACACCTTTCCATAGATCTAGGATGGTAAATAGGATAGAACTAGTAGTTAGGGACTTGGAGGGAGGTGCACATAGGTTTGGAACACATATATTAGGTTCACATCATACGGTGTTAAGAGATGCTTACTTATAATGATTTTGAGAATAAATACAAGTCTGGAGAAAAAAAATACACATTGCATACAGTGCATACAGGTAGTCCTTGCTTAACTACAGTAATTGGAACCAGAATTTTCATCGCTAAGCAATGCAGTCATAAAGCACAGTGTCACATGACTGTGCCACTTAGCAGCGGCAGTTCCAGCAGTCCCCAGTTATGGTTGTTAAGTGACGACTTCACATGATCGTGATTTCTAACTTCCTCCTGGCTTCCCCATTGACTTTGTTTGTGGGAAGCCAGCAGGGAAGGTCACAAATGGTGATCGCATGACTTTGGGAGACACTGCAATGGTTGGAAATCCTGGCCAGTTGCCAAATGCCTGGATGGCGACCATGGGGGCATTGCGGTGGACAGAACTTTGAGGACTGGTCATAAGTACTACTCATACAGCACTGTTGCAAGTTTGAATGGTCACTGAATGAGTGGTCCTTAAATGAGGACCACCTATAAAGCTATGCTAGGCTGACTTAGCAAAGAATGCAAAAGAATGAGTGAGACTTGTAACCTGCAATGTACATGCATTGCTGACTTCAAGTTTCACTAATTTTTTTGCATTCTTTTCTAGGCCTGCAACTCAATGACATTTCATACCTCAATCAGATCCTAAAAGCCATGTATGTGCATTCCTTGCTGACACAGAATACACAGGATCTGGCTGCTGCTAGAAGCCATCACTGATGCCTATCCTTTTACAGGTAGTCCTCATTTAGTGACTGCTTCATTTAGCAACCACTTGCAGTTATGACAGTGATGAAAAAGTAACTTTGTGACCGATCCTCTCATTTATGACCTTAACAGGTCTGTAAAGCAAAGGAAAGCTGACATAAGATCATAAGCATAGCCACGGTTTCACTTATCAACCAAGTTGCCAGTCCCAATTGTGGTTGCTAAATAAGGACTACCTGTAGTTTTCCTTAGAAGCATTGTGGAAATTATGACAGCAACTAGAACCAGACACTGGGAATTGTTCAGGCACTATTGCTGTAACTGCCAAATTCAATGTGCTCTTCTCAAAACTAAAGGAAAGTAGAAAACTACTGCTCCCACAGTGGTCTCTTTGCCAAACCCCTAATCCTCATCCCTGTCCAAGCACGAATCCCGTACAGTCTCTCACCATGGCTATCCCTCCCTAACTTTCCCTCTGCAGTTGCTGGAGAGCACCATGGACATCCCCATGACAGTTGGGTGGCAGTGATACTCTCCAGCAAGCATGGAGGTAGAAAATGGTGGAGCTTACTGGCTGGAATATTGGCCTTGTGACATACTTTCCACAAGGTTGATATGCCTACTAGTGGGGAACTGGGAGAAAGCAAGTTGGATTCTTGTAGGTTGTTGACCTCCCTCTGGTTCCTCTTCCACATGAATCAGAATGTTCACATAGGAGATTTTGTTCTGTTTTCCAATGGATACCACCACTTTCCTGCTGGACTGTATATTGTCTTCAGTGTCAATGTCAGGCTCGCCCTAAGATGGAAGCTCCAGTGGGAAGACATGTCCCCAGTGGCCGATAAGGAAGCCATCTCTGTGTCAGAGCCGTCTTGAAGTCAAAGCTGTGTGTGTGGTTAGAGCAAATGCTGTTTCTTGCCAGG